ATTTACTCTTGTGATTATGTATAAGTTACTGACTTCGGAAGGTACATTTCTTCTTGATCATTTCACTTCAGTTTTACTGATTCAATGATTTAGGTTTCTTTTTTCCTGGGGGGGGGTATGCAATATATATTTTGTAGGCCAAAAATACTGCAGTCCTTCCTTCAAAATGTGAAGGTCTCTACCTTCACAAGTAAGTCAAGAGGGAAATTCCTTCTATGCAACTTATGAGAAAGCAAATTCAAAAACACAAAATCATCTGGAAAAAGAACTCTCGAAATGCCCTGATGGATTGAGAAGTAATCAGGGAGACAGCTCCAAGCCTCAGCCAACTCCCTGGTGAGCTCCAAAGCCCGGCAGGGAAGAGCAAAGTTATAAGCAACTCCACACCATCTTGCCCCAGGCCCTCATGAGACAGGAAGAGGCCACATAATTGACACTGAGTTCATCAAAGCCCTATTGGCCCTCCACACCATCTCAAAATTGCCCAGGGCCAAGGCTTGGCCAGCCAGTTTAGGGCTGTGTGGGTCCCTTGCAGCCCTGACAGCCTAAGTCAAGTCAACTAAGCCAAACATCTTTGTACATACTATTTCTTTTCCTTGGGGAATAAAAAAGGCTCCCAAGTTTACACATAAATGAGAAATTCTTAAAGAGTTCCTGGACTCCTAAGAATTCCTTTGTCTAGTCTCATGCTCGGCTCTAATTATTTAGATGTCATTTTATTTCTTGGCTTTCTCTCTCATTTATAAAATAACCTCCATCAAGACAAGGGCCATGTCTACTTATGCGACTATACAGTGAGGTGGCATCTGGTAGATGTTTAGAACAAATAAGTGATTTGAAATCTACTTCACCAATACCTTATCTGCCTTATTCATTGGCATGCCAATGCTTTAGTTTGGGGCATCACAGGAGTAGAGAAATGACCCAATTAAGCCCCCTTTGGGCAATATGCAGGTGAAGTCTACATAAGCAAGGGGACCTACCCAAAGTCACATAACTAGTTAAAGCCAAAGTCAGGTCTAGACTCCAGTTCCTCAGGCAGACAAACTGGATTTTTCAAAATACTTTTCAGGGCCCGTGGATTCTCCCATATGCCCAAGTGCCCTATCACATGGTTTGTTGGTTTGTTGGTTTGTTTGTTTGTTTTCTCCATCTGTGGCAACTCTCTACCCTCAAATCATCTTTCTCCACATGTCCACAACAAATTTAAATGCAGCTGGACAGAAAGAACTCAATGAAGCTGAACACCCTGGGGCAAGCAACATAAGCAAGAACTGCCCAGCCTGAAGCAGAAGGCTTTATGAAGGTCATATGCTAAGGAGTCAGAATAACACTTAATGCCAGGGAGATGTGACCAAAAGGTCAGAACTGACTGGTGGTGGCAGACCTACTTCTAGTCATTTTAAGACTATAATTACAACTGGGGACATTGCCCAGTGAGCCTGTCACCATTCTTTATTCTCCAAAATATTTGTCATTTCACCAAAGCCCACTTTTGTTTTGATTTCTTTTATTTTGGGATCCTGGCATGTTCATGTTTTATATCTTTGTATCTACTTTGAAGGGAAATTTAATTCATTCACATGTGATGCCAAAAAAAGCTAAATATTCATCACTTTCCTTTTTCTTTATTTTTTTTCTGGTTTTTCAAGTCAGGGTTTCTTTGTGTAGCCCTGGAACTCTCTCTGTAGACCAGGCTGGTTGAACTCACAAAGACCTGCCTACCTCTGCCTTATGAGTGCTGGGATTAAAGGTGTGTACCACCACTGCCCACCCAGCTCAGCTTGCATTCTTAGAAAGTATTATTTTTGTTTTGGATCTCTGTTTGAGCCACAAAGCAACATGGGACCTCCGGTCATAACTCAAGACCATTCAAACACTCTTATGAAACACTCAATATCTTCATTGCTTTTTTTTTCAAAAATACATATAGTGGCTGTACAAACTCAGAAGAGCTGGGTTTTTGTTGTTGTTGCCTTTTTTTCATAAGCTATATATGTAAAATAAA